GGAGCAGCACAATGGGAATGTAGTGTGAGCCAGGATCTGGCCTGTAATATACAAGATACAATAATGTAATTAAAATACTTTGCATTTCTATAGTACCTTGCATTTGGAGATCTCAGAAATCTTCTCAAATAATATGTCTCACAGCACATCTGGGAGACATATTATTATTACACCCATGTTACAGATGGGTGAACTGAAACAAACAAGTTCGGCAGATTTCCCAAGGTCATACAGAGGGAAGATCTGGAAAAAGAACTAATTCCTAGATTCACGATCTAACCACAAGAAAATAGTCCCAATTAGATATCCTCCCCATTCCAGTTTATTATTTCCCAGTAAAATATAGTAATTTTACAGAGATCTAGCTCTTTCCATCCATAAGGATCTGAAAACCTTATATATTTTACAAAATACATCATCTGTAATGATTTGACCCATCACTGAAGTTCAGCCACCTCTGAACTGAAATGTAGCAACTGTTTAACAATGCAGGACTCCTCACAACAGTTTAGAACAGAAAGTGAAGAATACCTTAACTAATTGAAACTACAGGGTAAATTTTTAGTGACCTCATTGTCTAATTACATAAATTGACATTTAGACAGGAAATGCAGACTACTCTATTTAATTTTTCAATGTATTGGACCTTCACTGTATTTGCTTGCATTTTCTTGCTTCAAATTAAAGTCTTTCTCCCATTCCTTACACATGTAATATCTTCTGCATCTCATTTTAATTATATTTTTGTTCTTAAGCATTTCACATGTAGGGCCAAATTTTGGCTCTTGCTACATCTCTGGCACAGAGCCTGTCACAGCTGTGTGATCTGGCTAGGGTCTCTAACCGCAGAGGTCTGCCTGGATTCTGTAGAGCCAACCTCTCCTCAGGCAAGATTACTTGGTATTGATGAGGCCAGGAGAGTTTGTGACTTCTCCCCATGTAGGAGCGGGGGCCCTCCGTTGAGCTGGGGGAGAGGCTGAGGAGACACAGAGCATGTGGTTCCAAAGGCTGGGTTCTCCCCGGGTGTTTGTCATGGGGAACCATTTCAGGGTATCTTTACTCCTAATTGACTCTTTGTGGCAGCTCCATTTCAGCTGTCATGGTACTGAGGCCTGTGACATGCCCCTTGACTCTCAGACTCTCTTCCCTCACGTGGGTCCACCACAGCCCAGATAGATTAACTTTACCCACACAACAAAGGGGCCCATTTTTTCTACCAGGCATCTGGGGAGGAGGGTGTCTGAAAGGCCAGAAAGTGGCTTAGTATTGATTGTATTTAGTCACTAAGTGATAAAGAGCCTATCATATGATATTTATACGATAAATTTTAACAGGTTGTAAATGTTAAGTGTTATAGCCGAGCCCACTCTTTCCTACAAAGGAATAACCAGTATATTTTGTTTGCTTGCTTAAAAATGGTTACCCTTCTGCCTGTCCCATCTTCTGAATGGCAGCTGGGTGGAGTGTGTGAGTACCATGGGGGTGCTCCAATCTGACATGCATGGGCACAGCATGGAAAGAAAGAGCATCCTGAAACCATGGTAGGATGCTCAGTGGGTCCAGGTGTAAATGGGCTCCACTCCTGAATAGCTGAGCAAATGGTAATAGCTTCATCCCAATAGCATTGTGGGTTTAGGTCTCCTTGGTGCTCCACCATTTTATACTGTTTTGTGTGGCGTGAGGCAGGTGCCTAACTTATTCTCACAAGAAATGACTTAGGTGCCTAAGCCATCTGACCCCAGGAGAGGGGTTCCTGGCTGTGGATTACTAGCAGAGACAGGAGCCTTCCAGCTGCCCAGAATTAAGTGCCCACACTGTGAGAAGGGCAGGACTTAGGACATACCCCTCTCATCATCATCTCCTATTGGCTAGTTTAGGCAGCCCCCTGCCTAGCATTCTGGCTTTTGTGGATTGAATTCTTAGGTGCTTCTCTCTCCCCCTATGCAGTGTATAGAGAGGCTGGGCACCTAATTTAGGCTTTGTGAATCATGTTGGTGTTCCTGTGATTTTCGAGTTGTCTGTGTCCCTTTGTGGATTCAGGCCTCTGTCATCTTGTGCTGCCTGGAGGAAACTAGCTGCTCTAGTTCCCCCTCTGATCCATATTGGTCAGTTGCAACAACCCGATGGATGAGTGAGGGGTCTTGGCTTAACTGAAAGAACAATAACAGAATAAATGAGTGGTTTAAGCCTTATTGCCTCATTACGAGACACCTGGCATTACTCCTGAATCTTTGACTCAGGCTGGTGAGAGTTTCCTTGACACATTCCTCTTCATTGGATAGAGGTTGTCAAGGGAGAACCTACATCAAGGATGCCTGTGTATGCCTACTGACAAAACAAAATGGAAAAAATACAGAATGGAATAGCTCATTGCTGCTTTCCCTTCAGCTATTAGTTTTTTTTAGTCATTATTTTGTTCTTTGGGTTTAGAAGTTTGGGGAATCAGTGAACGTACGGAATCATTATGTAATACTAAATTGATAGCCTAATATGCCAATTTTTGTGTATAATCTGAAAATCTGCTACAGTAAGTGTATGGAATATTAACATTTACCCACCCACCATCCTGCAGTTTTAACTCATGTTTGTAAAAGAATTGTCCCCAAGAGTATAATATCGTCTCGTTGCATGTGATCATGTAATGAAAGACCCTGTTATGTAGAATAGGGGCAGGATGGCACAACACCTTCATCTCTTTTTAAAATCCTAAAAAATTAGTAATTCAAACTGTCTGCTGTAGCTTTTAAATTTCTGAATAGACTTGCTGATCTAAAATATAGAACTCACTGTTTGTATTTGTATCTGATTTGCTAAATACATTTGTAATTACTCCTTCCCATGTCCAATGCCTGTGCATATTATAAATGAAGTGTATTTCACCAGCTGGAATGTGTTATATTCAAATAGTGGAGTTGAAAGCTAGGAAGCCATACTTTCACACACAAGAGTTAGGTAAAATATTGCAAAGAGAGAAATTGGGATTAAGAAATGGTACTTAATTTCCTCTATATTATAATTGAACTGAAGCAGTTTTGAACATACAAAAGTGTATTATTAAGCAGCCTAATTTAAATGTAGCTCCATTCCCAAACAATAAATAATATACATCTGGCTAGCATGAGTCATCACTTTCACAACAGTGTCTATTCCTGTTTTGCAGGAGCACAGTTTACATAGTAAAAGGTAGAAGAGATAGAGGTATTATTAAGAATTTAAATTACATGCAGAGACCTTTGGTAGATTTAAGGGTGCCTTGCACTGAGGTCAGTCTCTTCTGAATGCTTTTCAGATCACAGTGTGATTGGGGTGGGAGTGCTTGAAGAAGGGAGCAAGAGCAATTGAGAAAACAGCTCATAAATCACTGCACTGCTTCTTCCCTATTAATACTGCCCTATTCTTTTGTGTGTGTGTGTGTGTGTGTGTGTGTGTGTGTGTGTGTGTGTGTGTGTGTGTGTGTGTGTGTGTGTGTGTGTAGAGAGAGAGAGAGAATCACCCCATGATGATGTTGCTTTTACAAAGCATTTGCTTTTCTCTTTCAGAGAAATAGGAGTCTCCTATTTCAGACTAGATACCGAGATTACCTATGTAGCTCTGCTTAAATACACATTTAAATTAGGAACGATGAAATCTTCAGTGGTTTTGTGTGTATGTGTCCGTGGAAAAACATCATTAAAAATCAGACTTTTACCTCTTGCAAGATGCTTTTTTGCCCCAGAGCCTATTTAAACTCTGGGAAATCAATAAAGTAAGAGTACTTTAGACTTGTCTAACCTTAGCTATCTTAATTTGTAGTAAGATGCAGGAATCAAACTATTGTATTGTTACTAAGCAAAAGCTACTGATTGCCAGCAGTGGTACCAGACACTACTACTTGCGTCACTGTTCCTAGGAGATGCTATTCAAGTGTCTTAACACATCCTCGTAGCAAATAGTATTTGCACTTGCTGTGCTCAGTTTCAACACTAATTGGGGCTTGGTTGTACCATACACAAACACACGCTTACCATAGTAACCATGTCTTCATTGGCAATTAATTTTGTTCCAACCCAGGGGTATCTTTCTAGATATATGCACGAAGATAGATAGGGCACAACTCTCACAGATAGTATTTATTGTAACTAAATCGCTTTATTGAAGAGCAATGCGCTAGAATCTAGCTCAGTGTACAATTCATTCAGACTAAACTGGATCATGTGTGGCTTTGTCTTGATAAAGAAATATTTTCCTTAGAGCTGTAAGCTAGATGGTTTTTTTTAATCTGAAGTAAATAAATTCCTTGCTGATGCCAATAGATGTATTAAACCTTAAAACCTTCATCTTGAAAATAAAAATGTATGTGATAAATGTCCTTAAATCAGTAACGATGTTCAAAAATGTAACGCCTGGAGATTTAGCAAGTCTTGAAACATCCTCAAAAGAGGATTGCTTCTCACAGGGTTACTAAATGCTCTAGAATGTGCATAACTCCCAAAATACCATTTATCAAATAACGCTCTTAAACTGGAAGTACCCTGAAAAACCATCGTAACAAATAGGGAGCGCGGCTATAGAAGGGGGGAAATGACACGCGTTCTAAGCGATGTTGTGACAAGATTATTCCGCATTGTCAACTGATCATTATTTGGATAATAGTTATTATACTAAAAGCGGAGTATATTATTCTGTTAAATCCGGATCAAAACTTTGCATCATAATAGACGCTGAACTCCCCCCCCCCCGCCTCCTTTTATTTTGGCATGTTTCATAGTATTTCCCTCCTCAGTGTAATTAACTTTTATGACACAGCCTTTAACACAGAGCCTTTATGATGAAGAATGACAAGCAAATCACCACATCGTGTAGGAATTGTTTGAAGTAAGTATCAGGCTCGTAGGGACATTTCTTTTTTTGTAAAGCAGCAGATGCAGTTGCACCGAAGAACAGCCTGGAGAAGCGGGGGGAGTGGGGGGGGTAGAGGGGGAGTGACTCCCTGCAGCCTAGGACTTGCTGGCCAGGGAACCAAGCGGTAAATGTGGAGTAATCCAAGCTCTCGCCCTGGTGTGCTCGGGCAGCAGGGAGTTACCTGGGGCTGCTGGGCTCGTGGCTTTTCGGGTCCCAGCGGAACTCGCCCCAGCCTTCGGGGAGCGCTGCTGCCTTGAGAAAAGCGGGGGAAGCGCACGGGAAACCTGGCTGGTTGCAGGCTCCTGCCCCTGACCCGCGGTTCCCCTGGCCCGCCCCCCTGCGCCGGGAGCCACTGGCGGCGGCCGCGGCGGAATTACCCGGAGGGGCCAGTGAAGTCTGCGGAGCGCCTGGGCAGGGCAGCGAGGCCGGGTCCGAGGGGAGAGGCAGCCCGGCGCGGCGGCGCTCCCCTCCGCTCCCTTCCCCCCTTCCCCGCCCGCCAGCGGCAGCCAGAGCTGCCTTTCCCCGCCTGCTGGTGGGTCCCAAGGCAGGAGGGGGAGATGGGATCCGCTCTGTGAGCCGCCCGGCTGGAGTCCCCGTTTCTAGCGGGCTTCGGGGAGCCGCCGCCGGGCTCGAGAGGATCCCAGCGCCGCTGGCTGGCTGGCTCTTCCCCGGAGGAATCTGCCCGGCTCTGCTTAGGTGAGTGCCCGTGTCGGTGCAGCGCGCCAGGGCTCGCCCTAGCCAGGCAGGGCTCCCACCTTCAACCCCAGCCGGGCGCTGGGCTATAAACCTCGCCCCAGCTGGGCCGTGCCCGGTGCCCCGTGTGTGCAGTTCTCCCCTAATGCCCCTCTCCTGTATGCAATACTCCCTCGTGCCCCATCCCTGTATGCAATACTCCCTAATGCCCCATCCCTGTGTGCAGTACTCCCCTATGCCCCTCTCCTGTATTCAATACCCCCTAGTGCCCCATCCCTGTATGCAATACTCCCTAATGCCCCATCCCTGTGTGCAGTTCTCTCCTCTTCCCCATCCCCGCAGGGCCCCCAGTACCCCATATGTGCAGTACTCCCTAATGCCCCCCATTCCTGCGTGCAGTACTCCCCTATGCCTC